TCAACTCTTCGAAACCGCAAGTCAGAATGTTTCAAATTTGATATGCAAGTACCTTAAATGGTTCTTCTCAGATTTGTTCATTTCATGTTAAAATCTCAAATTCTCTATTTTTGGTGAATATTTTTGTCATTTTTGGTAAGTGATATTTTCGACATGTAAAAAAAAAAAAAAAATAAAAAAAAAACCATTACTTTGATATTACATATATAGTAAGGTACTATATGTTGACCTCTCTCAGATTTGTTCATTTTGTGATGATATCTTCAATTCTCTAATTTTGATGAATGTTTTTGTCATTTTTGGTAAAAAGTGATATTTTCGACTTCTTGTTAAAAACCAATAGTTCAATTGCTTTGATATTACATATTTAGATACTACATGTAGACCTTTCTCAGATTTGTTCATTTCGTGATGGTATCTTCGATTCTATAATTTTGGTGAATATTTTTGTAATTTTTGGTAAAAAGTGATATTTTCGACTTGTTAAAAACCAAAAGTTCAATTGCTTTGATACTATACATATTGTTCATTTTCTAATGATATCTTTAGTTCTTAATTGAAATGTGCATTACTAACAGCGGAGCTATCTCAGCCGAGAGGCTGCTTGTTTTAATTATGCTTATTTTTTATTTCTTTTCAGCTGAACAAAAATCTTGATTTCCGGTTGGCTAAGATTAATGCCTCAATTATGAAACACAACATATTACTTGGTATGTCTGACCAATGCATATGTTGTTGCTCACATGCGGTGGTATCCTTTTTATTACAAAGACCTCACTCTGTATGTAACATGGCACCACATCAGTATTGTCCATTGTGACAGCTTTGACTATTGTGGCAGTATTGCATGTTGCAGTATTGGTCATTGTGTTTGTCATTGCAGCTGTATGTGCCTGTGCAACAGATTTTCCCATTACTATAGTATAGTCTTGTTTGATAGTATCAGCCATTTTGTCAATCTTTGGCCATTGTTGGCAGCACGTGTCATTATGATAGTATTAATACAATACATTTGCAATATATAG